CCCCCCCCCCTCATTTCTAAGGTTGTTTAACCAGGCTGGGACTCGCTGAGAACAAATTCACCCCAAGCACCACCAGGTCTGCTCCAGCACATGGGTGGCACAGGCAGTGGGAATGCAGGATCCAAAGGGAGACACATTCCTGGCCCCTCACAGCTGCAGTCTCTTTTTATAAAATAGTCTCGTTTCTTCTGATCCTGGGCTGACTTTTCTGGAAAACCAATGCCATGTACCTTGTCCTTCCAAGTTCTGTAAGTGCCAGACCTGAATAAACTTGCTCCTGTTGTTACCTGAGATGGGACGTGTGTGTGTTTCCTTGCTCCAGGGATTAGGAACTCTCTGATGGAAAATCCCAAAATTGTACCCAGCATGAGGGTCCCTCACCCTCTAGAGCAGCTTTTGGGTGCTTCATCTCCACATCCTTTCCAGCTGTGAGCAGCAAATCCATCTCCTCCCTGTTGCTGTCCTTCCTGATAAAAAACCTCTGGGCCAGCTTGTTCCACCTCCCTTGGGAATGACTTTTTCCAGGTGCATTTTAGTGATAAATCCCAGGTTTTTGGGGTCTGAGTCAACTCTAACGGAGCAATTACCCTGGCAGCAGGACTCTGAAGTGAATCTGCATTTTTATAAAGACTTTGTGCCTCAGTTTCCCCACTCTGGACTTGTCATGGTGACCACCACAATGGCGGTACCTGAACGACCATGGGCAACAGCTCTGAGAAATTCGGTGAAGTCGGAGGAGAAGATGTCAATACCCAGATTTTTAGGTCCAACTTTCAAAGCCTGATGGTGCCCATGGACTACTGGAGGTGACTTCACCACCCAACCTTCCACATCTGCTGTTCCCTCAGCTCCCAGGACCTTCTCGGGTGTTTTGGCAGGTTTTTCCCCAGAAGTTCTCATCTGTCCCACGGGAGATGTGTCCTCCTGCCCTCTCTGTGTCATCTGTCCTGCCTACTCTGCTTGCCTGTGGACCTGCTCGACACAAGCCAAGCCAAAATTCAGCCTTAAACTGCCGAATTCAAGCTTTTTGTCGCTTCCACTGGTTGATCAGAGGTGCACTGGGCTTTTTTCTTTTTCTAGCAGCAAAACCCAGGTGTTAGCGCATTTTAGCCATGCCTTGTACCTGCTTCTCCTATTCTGTGTCAAAACCCAAACAAATCTCCACAAACCTTCCACCTCTGTCCTCTCTTCAAGGAGTGATAAATGAAAGGTGGTTGCAGTTGTATGGAAATACTGGTAACAAAAGTGGTTTTATGGTTTTTTTTCCCCCCCCCTCCCTTCTCCCCCTCTTTTAATTAAAGTGACACAGATGTTAATGACAGCTTTTCCAACAGGAGGGATGGGTCAGTGGGCTGTGATCTGCAATTTACTGGTTAATTTGGGAAGAATGCATCACTTGTGTTGGTCCTTGGATGTGCCTTCCTTTGGATAATGCATCCTCCTGGGACCTTGGGGCCTGAGGTGCCCCACAAACCTCTTCTATGCACGTGAGAGCACAGGGAAAACTGGGGGAAAACTTCCTAAACTGAGATGAATACTCCCCAGCTTCCCTATGCCTCAGCCTTCCTCCCAAAAGGGTTCAAAACCTCGTTTTTTGGGTTCATTTGTCCCTCAGCACTTGCTGTGACACTGAGGTGGCACCCAGAGCATTCTACATTGAATTTAAGGGGCTCTGTCTTTTCTGGCCACCTGGAAAAAGGTTTTGGGGTTGGTTTGGGACTCGGATTACCTTTAGCAAAGAGCTGAACTTCAAAGCCATCAGCTGTGTCCTGATGTCCATCCATGCTTTTGTGACAAACCTGACGATGCCACACGGGACAACCCCATGGGCTGAAGACATGGTTGTCACCTCCAAGGGCCATTCCCTTCCTTTCTTGGCATTCCTTGGCCAGTGCCAAGGATTTGGTTGTGCCAGGGAGCAAAGGCTCATGGGAGGAGCATCCAGAGGCTGCTTATCCCAATTTATAACAAATTATATTCATGGAATTGCCAGGGGAACGAGCTGAGGGTTGGTTGGATAAATTTCGCATGGAGATTTGTTTTTCGCTCTCATTTTTGTCTCTTCCTTCCCATGTGCTCTAATCTAGAATATGGAAAAAGAGATATTTTCAGTATTTCCTTTCCTGGCAGATATCTCTTGGATAGATCCATGTGTGTTTGAGAGAGGGAGGGGAGTGACAGCTCGTCACAGCTGAATCCCGAGCACTTTCTAATCAGTCATGCCAGCTCTCACTTTTCCTGGTCCTACTCTAGGTTTAGTTTCTGCCCCCAAATCCCCAGAATGATAAATCCGGTGAGAACCTCGTCTGTTGTAAAACCCAGGCCTAAAAATGGGCAGGTGAAGTAATGAAAACCATTAATGAGACAATAAATAAGGAAAACATGGGGTTTGTGAAGTGTTCAGACTGGTGGGTTGTTAAACCAAATGCTGGATTTGGAATTTGAGGGCCGTGGCGGGAGAGCCCTGAAGTGCTTTGGGTGTGTTTCTGTGGATTGTGGAATTAAGAGGTCAAAATCTGAGCAGAAAACTCAGATATTCACCTGTTCTGACAAGACAAGAGAGGTTATGAGGGGAGGAGGTTTGACTCCCTAGAAGCATAAAATACCCTGGGAGAGTTTTTACTGGAAATTTAGAGCTAAAGTGAAATACCTGCCCGCTTTGGAGCATGTTCCTGAGAAAATGGTTTCAGTGCTTCCATCCTGAGAATGGCTGTAATTCACCAGCAGCTGCTGCCATCTCCCACTACCCCACCAAGGGCTCGGATTTTTGTGGATTGTCTATAAAAATGCTCAAAATCCATTGTGGCTGCAGCACTTCCCACCTAGAATCTGGGGGTTTGCTGTTTGCCCAAGGGAAGGACTTCAAACTGAACACAGTTCTTCCAGCTGGCTTTGAGAATTGTTTTGTTTTGGTTTTTTTTTTAAGGGAAAAATTTCTTTTGGAAACCACAAACCTGACGTGACTCCCTTGCTCCAACAGAATAAATTACAGGTTGCTTAATTATCGCTCCAAGGATCTGCTTTGCTGCTCCAAGGATGTCCTGGATTGGTGTTGATTTGCTCAAGTTGGGGTTTTTTTTGAAGGGATTTGTCTCCTGGGGACTTTATTTGCCACGAAAAAAGGAGGCTCTGGCCCCACCACCCCTGTGGGAAGTTCTGGTGGGGGTGCCTGTGTGTCCGTGGGATGAGTTACGGGATCCATGCCCTCTGCACAAAGCAGATGTGCACATCTGGATGCCTGGAGGTTTAGGGCCCTTTCCCTTGCTCCGGTTGGTCTCAGCTGTTTGGGATGAAGCTGGCTCTGGATCCTTGATCCTGAAGGAGTTATTTCACCCCTCTCTGAGGCTGCTGAACGCGAGTGGGAACAGAAACGCCCGGTTTTGCATTTTGGGAATGCCCATGGTGCCCAGGGAAGCGAAGGCCTGGGTTGGTCCTGCCACCTACTGGCTTTTGCCAGACTTGGTGGAGGAACTTTGAAGTCTGAATCTCCAGAATCAAGGCGTGTGAGCTGCCTCAAACCAAATAATTGCACCCAGAGCAGGGAGTCATCATCAGCAGAGACAGACTGAAGGTTTTAATTTGTCCAGCTTTGCTCTGATTGTGGAAATCGAGAAATAAAAAGACTTAAGAGGCTTCCCAATTCCAGCATTTTCCATGGGAGCACTTTTTCCCCAGCCCTAATCCTTCTGTTTCCTCAGATGAAAATATATGAAGCCAATAAAATGTTGCAGGAAAAAAAAAATAAAAAAAAATGTTGGGACATTTTATTTCAGCTTTGTTGGATGATCTGAGGTGGTTTCCCTGAAATGTTGATTTTACTAATCCCTATCTGTGAGATTTGTAACTGTGTATTATCTTTATTGTAATGGGATAAGCAGGATAAAGAAGAATCCATCCCTTTAAATATATTAACCTAAGTATAAGTGAAGTGTATGTTCCATCTTGTTTCTTATACTCTAATAAAGAATATATGGAATTAATAAAAAAAATACACTTGGAAGGAGATTTTTGGGTGGTTCTGCAGATGTCCCAGATGTTAACTCTTTGTTTGTGTGGAAGGAAAATGCCTGGATTGTATTCCAAGCTCAGGGCTGCAGTTTGTGGGCTGGATAAAAGCACAGACGGAATTTAGGGACTAAAGGAGGGTTAAATTCCTACTTTTCTTCTCAAGGCCATTGGAATCTCTTCCTGAGGATGGATAAAGAAAGGGATTGTCTTTGCCTTTAATAGCTCATAAATATCCTTGACTTGCCCGTGACCCTGCTGGGAATGGAGATGGGATTTGGCCTTGGAGCAACACTCTTCCTTTTGGGAGAGGGCGGCTATTTTGGGCACAGAACGGCCCTGTGTGGGTGTCTGTGGGCAGCTGCTCCTCTTCCTGCACTCCCAGGGATGCAGCCCTGCTCCTGCCTCCAGACGGATGCACACATGGACACAGGGCTGGGTCCTCTGGAGTTTTCCCCCCCCACTCTCTGCAAAGTTACCTCATTCTAATTTTTTTTTAAAGATTTCTATGGGGATCCCAGCTGGATCCCATGGGAGAAGGGATTTTATTTCCCAGGGAATGTAAGACAAATGTGGAATGGCAGCGATGGGCTTGGGAGTTTCATTCCTTTCCTCTGGATAATTCTGGGCTGGACTGTGATTTCCACTGCAATCCATATTTTGCAGCCTGATTTGCAAGTGTTTCTTGTGATGGGAGGGATCCAGTGGTGGCAGGGAATATTTTGGGGACTGGGGGGGGTGGATATTGCACAGCCAGGGGTCACAGAAGAAACCTGCACTCCCTCCTGCCTGGTGTTCCCATTTCTCCTCACATTGTCCCAGCTCCTGCTGTTCCCCAGGGATCTGCCCGCCTCTGCATAGGCCCAGGATGGGTTTTTCCGTGTTTCAGCTGTTTGGAAAGTCAAGGGAAATGGTGCCACACTTCCTGTTTCCTCTTCAGATGTTCCTCACTGGCATCCCAA